GTTTTATTGTTCTTTTGAATGGAGGAGATTAAAACTATGATCCAGACTATTGGTTGACAACTACAAGAGCAATGTGAAGCCTACAATGGAGCTAGATCTATATGCCCAAGACACAGCAGCCCTTCTTCAAAGAGTTTACAATGTGGTGAGGACTCCATCACTAAATGCTTAACTTTTGGAAGATTCCCAAATTTAGGACTGAGTGCTCAAGTTTTGGTACTGGGATTCGTGTAATCATTCCAATACAGTGATGGACAACAAGACAATATGTATATGGCCAAAGATGTCCAGAGGACTCAAGCCACATAGGCCTTATTAGTTGTGTTTTATTTTTAATCTGCATTTGCCCTTACAGTCATTGCAAACAATTGTGGTTTTACTGTCCAAACCCCTGTTTTACATCTTTTCCTTTCTCCACAGGAGCAAATGGCAGATCTAAGCAATCATGAAGGGGAAATGTTCAACTATCAAATGGCATAAAGAAAAGAAACAATAAGAAAAGGAAAAATACCTCTCCATCTCTGCACAGCATTCATCACAAGAGTAGGGAAACACTTAGCATGTAGAAATATGATGATGTATCATGAAAACCTTTTAATGTCTTGCCTAACAACCGTATTCACTACCGGGGCAGTCATTAACAGGTTGCCAGGAGAGAAAATAAAAGCTCCTAGACTGTTTCCATACTGTCTGCACTCAATGTTATTACTATTATACCAATGCCAAGAAACTATAATGGGATGAGGGCCCGCCCCAGCCAGGCACCATGAAAAACCATACTGAGAGGTTGTCAGGAACCAGTGGACAAAGGGAGTTTTCTTACTCTTGTCTTGAAGTTGAGGTATATCATGTGCAGAGCCACCCTTGCCATGGCTGCATGGAGCCCTGTCCTTGTCCCTGGACCTGGTTCTTACCCACCCTGAGCATCCTTTTCCCCACTGGGGAGGGAGTCACAGCCCAGGTTGAAAGAGAGGTACCTCCCACTCCCGCCTTCCCCAGTATCATGACATCTCTAAATCCCTCCAGCTCTTGGCAGCCTAGACCCTGTTACCAGAGCCTCTGGCACTGCAGCCTCAGGTGCTCGGTGGCTCCCAGGAGACTCCATCTGAAGGTCTGCCTGAGGCAGCAAGGCCCATGCTGATGCTACAGACCTTCAGGTACTTTCCCTATACATCATTCCAGGGCTGCCTTTGTGGCATTTTCATTGCCACGGAGCTGGAAAAATCCAACTCTGGTGCCTGTGCTCTCCAGGATATATCCCTCCTCTCCCTCCCCTGCTTTGCTCCATACATGAATACATTTCTCTCTCTCTCTTTTTTTTTTTTTTCTTTGGGTATTTATTTTTTTCCTCTTTCCCATTACCCCTTTAATGCAGAGCAGGGCTGCTGATTACAAAAGAGGCAGTTTGACTTGAGCAATAGGTCTTCTTCACTAATCCTCACTGTCATGGAAATTCCAGCTGCTACAAGAATAAGAGGCTCAATCCATATTTGCCAGCTCTAATATGAAATCTGTCAGGGCCCAAATTAATGAGTTCCAAATTCCTTACATCACGATAACAGGTTAAGACTGGTCAATTAATTACATAAATCCTTCCCGATTCATTGTGCATTTTCAGGAGAGATTGTGTCTTACATAACTGGGTGACACAAGGCCTTTTGGCTCTTGCTGTTCCGCAGAAAGGCCTCCATTTACGAGCCGCCTGCCTGCCACCGAGGCTGGCAAATGTCTCGCCTTTGCTCCGCGCTGCGCCCTAATTGCTTTTGTATAAAAATATAAATAAATAAACAACACGTAAAATATATTTTAAAAACACAGCAGAGCCGTGGGGGGCAGGTGCAGCCCCTCCCCACCCCGGCTGCGCCCCATCCCCAGCGCGGTGGGCACCTCCCTTGTTTCGCCCGATTGCGGAGCTGCGCGGCTGCGAGAGGGGCTCAGGGGTGGGGGTGGGGGGACCGACGGGGAGCATAAAAAACTAGAGATAAAGGAAAAAGGCTCGGTCGCCCCCGCGGAGGGCCGCGGGCACGGAGCGCGCACGCAGCGCGGGGCCCCGCCCGGCCCGGGCCCGGCGGCGCGCTCCCGCTGGCGCACAGCGCCCCCTGGTGGCCGTGCGGGCGGGGGCGCGGGCCCGTGCGGCTGTGCCGCCTTCCTTCCTTCCCTCCTTCCCTCCTTCCTTCCGCGGGGGCTCTCGCGCCCCCCCTCCCGCGCCGTTGCCACGGGCTGCGGTTGCCACGAGTTACCGGATGGAGGCTGGGAGGCCCCGCTCCCTGCCTGGCGGGCGCGGGGCGGAGCGGGGCGGACAGCGCGGCGGCCCCAGGTAAGGCTCTCGCCCCGCTCCGCGTCCCCCGGGCAAGGCAGGGCAGGGCGAGAGGAAGGGCCGGGCCGGGGCGCAGCGGGGAGCGCGGTCTGGGATGCTGCCTGCCTGCCTGCCTTTTTCCTTTTTCCCCCTGTTGGTTGATTTTTTTTTTTCCCCCCTCCCTCCTTTTTTTTTTAAGTCCTGCCCCGCGCTTGTCGCTCGCACCGGCGGCAGAGCCCCGCGGGCAGCCGGCGCTGCCGCTCCCATCCCCGCCGGTACTGATGCTACGGGTGCCTCGAAGTCAAAACCGCGGGATTGGAGCCCAAAGGCGAGAGCTCGATTTCTGTTTTACGAGGCCACTTGAATTAATTTCTAAGGAGGTTTTGTTCCACAAGGCAAAGAAGCGAGCTAAACCGTTATACAGCATTTTTAACGCCGAAGAAGAGAATAGTTGTGTCTTTCCTAAAGCGTTTAGGCCCTTCGTGAAAAGAATCAGTCTGAGACTGGAAATCATTATTTACATTTTTGCAACATTGTAAAAGCTAGAGAAGAAGGGTAAAGTCCCGTCCTTCGCCCTGTGCCTAGCCCTGCAATGACAGGGAGACGACACAGGAACGTGGAAGGTTTATTCTTTTGACTTTATCTGCACTATGTAATTTACAACAGAGCGAGTCACAAACGCTGTGTTTTAATAATTAATAATAATTATAAAAATTTAAATATTCCTCTGGAGAAAAAAAAAAATTGGTATATCACATGTCAAAAAAAGACCTGGACACTGAAGTTTGCAGTGAGGCATTTTGAGTATAATTTTTCCTCAATGCTATAGATCTACATTGGTACTTAAACATATTTCATTCCCAATACACCATCTTTCTGGTGTTTTTTTGCTGTTCTTTTTGTAAAAATCAAAATGAAGTGAAAACCCAAGCACAACAGTGTGGGTGTGTGTATATACACAGTGTGTGTATCTATCTCTCTCTCCACACACACATATATACACACTGTATATATATATAGTGTATATACATATGTGTGTTCATATATATACATATTACAAAAATAATTGAAGAGTAAATCACACATGATAAGTCATAAGGTGATTAGGATATTGATATTGAAATAAAGGAAAGCTCACTGTCAGGTTTAAACATGAGCTAGAAAGTAGTAACTTTTTTTATTTAATTACTTAAAAGCTTTTAGGAAATCATCATAAAAATGAGGATATAAAGTTCTAAGCAAAAGATAAAGCACAGCTTTTGAGGGCAGAAATACTGCAATTAAATAGAATGTAATCTGATTACTATTTCTAATTTATAAATTAGATATTAGCCTGTTAAAAACAAATAAAACAAACTAGCAGGAAATGTCAGCATTATTTAAAATGAGAATCAAAATACCAGTGATCAACTGATCAAACTGCATGCCAGTGTTGAGAAATCACCAAATCACTGAGGTCACAAAGGACATTAAAAATCTTTTTTTTAACATTTAAATTTGTAATAGTTATATTTAATGTACCAAATGAAACAAAATGTCTTAAAGCATTTATATGCCATTACATACAGCTGATACAGAAAGTGGACATACTAGAGAGCATGGAATACTTTTCCTCACCCTTTCATACAAAAAATTCCAGTAATATTAGCTACACAAGCAACATTCAAAAGATAAATATTTAAACAAATCTCTGTCAAAGCTGAGAAGAAAGTTCTGTTATAGTAGTCTTAAAATTTTTTAACAGGGTGATGAGAAAATAACAGAACAACAATAGAGCTATTAGAAAACAAATATTTATTTCAGAAACATCTTCATCTGAAAAACACTCACTGGCCTACAGATAAGCTCCTAGAATTAAAAAATCAAAAAACCACCACAAAGGCTTGTGTTTCTGTAATTTTTTGCAGATCTTGAGGATGTCCTAGGAGGCCAGAACTGTAAAGTGCTTCAACAGTTTAGCTCAATCTTTTAAAACAAAAGAAAAAACCACACTGTGTTAAATAAAAACATTAGTATCCTTCTCAGACATTATTCCAGTTTTTGTTTTTATATCCTTCCCATTTTTTAAATAAATTCGCTAAACAATTTTTCTTGTAATGTGCCAACTTATTGAAAAAAAAAAAAAGAAGAGAAGAAAAGTCAAGAAATCAAAATCTGTGCCTGGCAATAACAGCTATTTTTAAGCTACTTTTTTGTGATAACTTGTTGCTTTAATTAAATGTTATCACTTTTAGATTAAAATAACATTGTTGCTAACTCACACACAAGCTGAGAAAGTGAATAGATACATTTGTGCAAATCAGTAAGACCAAAGGAAAAGAAACATGGATATTTATCTTTAAAAAGTGCTGCCATCAACAAAATACAGTGGCTTAAAGCAGTTACCTAAGAGATGTTATTCTCAAGGCTATTAAAACATGGTTCTAAAATTACAGAGATTCCCATCTGGATGCTTTAAAAAAGCATGCCCACACATGTCTATGCTAGCCCTTATTAGCTGGCCATTTAATAATCCATTGTTTCTGTAATTCACAGGTTTAAAATGTTCCTTCTTTGAAAGTAACCACATAATTCTTACAAAAAAAAAAAAAAGCAAGCATGTATTTATATCCATTTCTAGGCCGGTAACTACAGCACTGAAGTTAATGGAAGCTTTGCTAGGGTGATCAGACCCCCTAGCTCTTTTTAATAGCAGTTAAATGTCAAATATAAATACAACACCACAGTGAAACATACTCCTTTGACAGAATCTGGGACAAGACACTACGCAGCTGCTGTGAACAATAAAGAGCAAAACTGACATTTAATCAAAATAAGTGTTGGTGGTTACGAAGTTGTGTTTAAGCCTGCCTTTTGTTTGTGAAAAAGTCAATATTCCAACGTGTTAACTACAGCCACAATGAAATAAGCAGCTCCTGTTACTCCCAAAGAGTAGAGAGGACAACATCCGTACAGTGTGTTATAGCTGTGTGATTATCATCACCTCTCCATTTCAGCTGCTAAACTAAAACATCTCTCCCAGCATCTTCAAATATAAGTGCCAAAAGTAAAACATGTTGGGTGAAATCCTGGCCTTAGCAAGGTCATTGCAAAATTCAGCCATTGGTTTCAATGAGCCTTATCCAGGATTTTCACTGCGAATGAGTATCCATAATTCCCTGGGAACTGAGAACCTCCATCAGGCCTAGAAATTATGTAATTTTTATTTATATTTCTAAACTTCTAAGCAACCATACTCCAAAATGTTTGCCTTCAGTACTCACGCATGATAAAACCAGGCTTTCTGTAAACACTACAGAAAGACCATGGAAACATGTATTTATTTATATCTCAAATTGTCAGCAGCATATAGTTTGTATGAACGTTGTTTTGCTGATGTTGCTGAGCTACTTTAAAAAGTGAGTACCTTGGTGGGGTGTGTAATTTCATCACCAGTGTCAAATGATTTCTAAAGATGAAACTTCTCTGCTGCGAATTACAAAAAGATGCTTTGAATATGTTTAATACGATATACCAACTTTTAAGATGAGGAATTAAGTCATCTTTATTTTTCTGATCCAAGACATGCACTCACTGAGGGAAATATTTTAATTGCCACATATGCCACTTACCCAATACTGAGATTTTAATAGTCACAAAAACATAAACAGGTAACATGTAGACCTGAATCAAGATACATTAAAAAAAAAAAAAAAATCAACGAAAAGATAGCATCGAGGTCTGTTTTGAATATTTCGTAAGGACATATGGTTGTATTGATGATGGGTCTTTTAGGTACACGTTACCAGACAGCCCTGCTTATGTGGCACACGTAACCAGTAAACAGAGCAGAAACTGCTTTGTAGTGTCCTTAAGATAGTAATAGAGGAATGATTTTTCATGATTCTTCAGAAGCTGGGCTTGCTTTACATCCACATGAAATGCTGTCATCACTAGGTCGGAGCCCGGAGGATGAACTGCAGAAAAGGGGAGGGGGGGGGGGGGAAAAAAAAAAAAAAAATAAAAGGAGGAAATTGGTTTTCACAACACACTCAAAGCCTGAGTAACAGAGGAGAACTTTAATTATCTCCAGTCACAAAGAGAGACAGGAAATTTGGACTTTTAATTAGCCATTTGGAGTGCAGTTGGATATTTTTTTAGCAAGATAATTTAAACGCGAATAATTCAAGTCTGACTAAATGAAATTCACATAATCAGAATGCAGATAATTGAATTTCTACTGCATTCATTAATTCAGTGTGGAGGTGTGTGTGAAGACTTCTATGATGAGCTGTCACAGCTCAATAAAATCTCAGTCAATTAATTTTTTCATTATCTTAGTATTACATCAACAAAAAAAGTGAAGCATGCGCGTGTGTACGTATGGATATACAACCTCAGAAAGTAAGGAAATACAGAAATCACCTCTCTGAATCAGAGTCTGCATCATTTTTTCCTTTTTTTCTCTCTTCCTCTTCTATAGGAAAACGTCTGTTCAAAGAGGCGAACTCGTGAATAGCATCAGCAACAGAATATTTGGTCTGTCCAGACACACAAGCCTCCATATCTTCTGGGCTAAGCTGAGTCTGTAAGAAGAGGTGAAGTCTACTATCTGAAAGCAACAATGCGTCTTGTAGGATCCTGGAAAAAGAAAAAAAGGCAAATGTTTATATATAAGCTGTGCACAGACACATATATTCTAAACTGTTTTCTCAGAACAAATTCTAAATTATGTCCTGCTTTTAAGTTTTCAGATGAATCCTAAATCAGTAACAGAAGGTAACGAACATATTAAAATGATTAGGTGCGTGTTACTTTCTTATTGCATTATTTGGAATTTTAGGTGAGTAAAAACACGAAGCTAATAGTTAGGCACATCTGCTATTAGAATAACTTCAAGGACATTTCTTCCATTTAACCATCTGTTATTACCACATGGATCAATTAATGAATTTTAGGCAATTGGAAGCATATACTCTTACAAAAACTTGGTCTTTTTTGTTTGTTGTGTTTTTTTTCTTTTAATAGCTAAACTTTTATAAAAATTACAAGTCATCAATTTGTTTGGTGGAATAAAGAAGCATGTAGAGAGACAGTGTGTAGACAGAACAGATTTCATACATGTGCAACATCAAGACTTTGGCATACCTGTAAACAATAGAGCCAACATTAGACAAAATTATTTACTCTGTTACAAATATGCATATATTTAAGCTAGAATGAAAATGTTAATACTGAATATCGATTTTAGTTTACTTGCAAACAGTTTTCAGGGACTCTTAAGTTTTATTTCATTCCAGCTATTATTTTAAAAAATCCATTTTAATATTTGGTTCATATATATTTTAAGTCTCCAAATAAATTCAGCACAGTGTATTTACTTAACACACATGAGAGTAAACAAAATACAATCCATTCCAGTAACACAGAAAGTTGCAGAGTTACTTTTTCAAAGCCTCAGAATTGAGGATCACCGTCACTATTTTGAAAAAAAAAAAAAAATATGCAACTCTTCTTCAACATTTCTTTACAGAAGGAATTCTTTAATATGTAAATCCTAGAATGATTAACAAGAGACTTCTTTTATATGTGTATGTAATTTCACTCATGTAATAAAGACATCAGAACCTATGACCATGCCAAAGAGTGCTCCACAGAAAATTATTAAAATATCTTTAAACAACTCAAAACTATTAAGAGTCAGTCAATATTTACCCATTTCTACCCATTTAGGTAACAGTTTTTACCAAAAAAATATTACTGTGCAATAGGAAACAAGAGATGATATTAATGTAAGAACTAGTAAGAGCAGAAAGAAATATTGCGTTTTAAAGATACTCTGACTAAAATAAAAAGTATAGCTAATTAGTTCCTTCGCTTGAACAAGATTAATGGTGTGTTTGGACTGTAATGTTTTAAAACACAAATACGTTCTGAAAACTGTTCTCTAAAGTGGCCAACATTACAATAATGTTTAATAAACACACAAAAGGATTTTTGGCTTCACTCAAGCCTATAAAATCGGTCAAATTAAAAATAAGTAATAAGAGGTATCCGCTTGAAAACACGAGATACTTGCGCACGTGCACATTTCACTGGCCTGGGTAAACACACACACGCAGTCTCAAACAAATAACTCAAACTCTTACACCTTCCAGTGAGGAAATGTCTGCAATGACCCAGGTACTACTGAAATTCAGTCTCAGAAAGACCAGATTTTGCTGAAGTTCAAAATAAGCACACACTCATACCTGGAGAAAGACTTTTTAATCCAATCTAAATTCTCACAATTTTACTTAAAAACAAACATAGCAAATAGACGTGTAAAAATCAATGCGTGTAGTGTATTAATACACAGGAAAACTTTGTAGTCTAGAAGCCAGCAAATGCTGTGTAAAAATGATTCAAAACACAGAATTTAGTCCACACACCTTGACAGCAACAGCTTCATGATTACAGTTTGAAAAGCCATCATTCAGCAGCCACTAAAAGAGGATTTCAGCCTTGACTCTTGATAAACACACATTCCAAACAAAGACAAACATTGCAACAAAAAGTAAAAGTATCATTCCAGACAATAAATCCACTTTTACAGTTTATGCAATCGGGGGAATAAATATCCTCCTTCCTCTTCCCTTCCCCTCAAAAAGAAAGAAAAGAAAAAGAAAAAATAAAAATAAAAATAAAATGCTGGAGTTTACTGTAGAGTAACTACTGTTACTGTTTTTCACAGGCACCATGAGGGGATGCGCATTTCTGCAATTCTAACATTTGCGTGTCTAATACCAAGTAACCAAGCAAAAAGTGAAGTCATTAAATTCTGTGGATGGCATTTAGTTTCACAGATTTTCCTCTTGCCGTACCTTCAAAAGTTTCCTGCCAACCAGCAGAAACACAAGTAACTAACTGTTCATGAGATTACACTACACTTACAGCTCTGTTGCTGTTTGAAATGTATTTTATTTTCTTTATAAAATAACGGCTAATCTTTAAAATTGATTTAAGATGGTTTGAGGCATTACACCAGAGAAGTAATGAGCACTAATGTCAATGATATTGGACACAAATTCATTTTAGCTTTATTTCATGTCCAGTACAATTCTGCTAAGCCTTGAACTGCTAAAGCACTGTTATTAACTCAGCAGTAACCTAACATATGGAACAGCAAACAAAAGTGATAAGAGTACAGACTGATCAGGACCTCAAGGCTACTGTCCTTTTTCTGCAGCTATAATTCAATTTCCAATTTTACTTTACATTGGACTCATTATTTCACAGTAATTTTCTTTTCTGCTTCATAGTGCCATCTGGAGGCGAAGGGAGCGAAGAGAAACCAAGGCGAAGAAATGGAAAGATCTTTATAAAGCTAATCACACACACACTCATATATATATGGGGGGGGTCATACATATATATGTGTGTGTGTGTGTGTGTGTGTGTGTTCACAACGTGACCAAACAATGCACTTTGCAAATCTTTTAAAACCATCCTGAAAGCAAATATATGAACATCTTTCACCTGGTTGTACCCTTGAAGCATTTCTTTTTTCTCTTAATTAAAAAATAACTCCTGCTTTTCCTATCCCATCTGAACCAACAGGTTAGACTGCTTTTTAATTGCATTCTTCAAGCAATGAAAATGAAAAATAAATTCTGTGCTACCCATAAATGTTATGCTTTCCTGTTCAAAATATTCCTTCTTCAAGGAAATAACCATATATTTGTCACCAGATGGTACTAGTAGCATTAAGTGCTGGTACAGTAGTTGCACTCTGGGGCTTTCACTGTCCTGGGGACTCACTGTGTGAAGGGCTGTACATCTGAAAAATAGATTTGGCTCCAAGGACTTTAAAAATCAAAATTACAACCCACTACCTAACAAATTAAAAAGGCAAGAGGAAGGGAGGAGCATCATAATATTAATACTGAGATGTCTTCACAGAAGCTGAACGCGTGCGCAGTCTCAACGTGACCAGTAGCACCCCCAGTGCTTCTTCAACACTTTTATTGCAGCCGGTGTCAGCACAAGGCTATGGTTACAGTGATGTAAATCAGCACTCGCTGCCGTTGCGCTAATGGAGGAGTCACGGCTCACGGTAATAATTCCTATAAACTGACTGAGCATATTTAGGAGAACAACAGACCTTCTATGCAAGTCTGGAATAAGAATGAAAGGCTAAATCCTGCAAGTCTTGATCCCATCAGTAGTCATTACTTGTCAGAGATCTCACTCCTCTTGGCCAGATTGCTCACATGCATAATGACTGCTTATGTGATTAAGGGGGCTGCAGGATAAGGCTCTACATTAGAATTAGAGATAATAAAATCATTTTTTATTCACAGCCATGTGAATCTTTGTAAGCTTTCAGTAAATGCTCATGATCTCTAGACCTTTAAGGAAGCAGGGCTGAAAAACATCACTTCACAACCAGAAGAAATAATGTCATTTTTGAGGAAATGCTGGATACTATACAAGGAATATTTCTCTTTCCCTGTGTTATGGCAAAAATATTTACAAAAGACAAAACATGTGTTTTGTCTTATTTGGATAAGGTCCAAAATCTGGTTTTCTTCAACATGATTTTATTAGGTATATTATACACTGTTCTGCTGGAGGAGAACAACATATGGCTGAACAGTACAACTTAATCCTAACTAAAGATTTCCTGTATCTCCTGTAACCTAATACAATGACAGATGCATGCTTGCATGTGTGTGGAAGGTTAACACTCTGGTTTTGTTTTCGACAAATTTACTCTGCCCATTTACATCGTATCATGAGAGTAAGGTTAAAAACCAAGGAGCTGAGAGGTGGGGGATGACGGCCTGTGCTGTGGTGCCCTCTGTTGAGCATCCAGCCCCTCAGCCCCAGCCCACACCAAACAAAGCCCCAGCTCCCACTTACAAAAAAGCCGACTCTGTTTCCTCCTTCATTTTTTATAAGGGAGGAAATGTTACTGATATCAAGCAACTGCGAAGCAACTGTTGGGTATCTGATAATGTGTGCGTTTAGGAAAAGATTAAGTGACACATGCCTGCTAGACATTATTCACTCACCAGATAGGAAATACTAGCAAGGCTCCACTGGAAAGAGGCAACCACCACTTGCCGAAGGAGATCCACCTGCCCCACAGCTGCTGATACTCCTGCCCCCCTGGCAGGGGCAAACTAGCATCCATCCCTTTTGGAGCCAGCCTCCCACTTCCCACATCCCTGAGAGAGCACCCAGTGGAGACAACTCCAAAAGAAATCGCTGACCCTGTACCAGCTTCTGCTTGTGGAATTGCAGTGGGGAAGGCAGGGAGGTGGGAAGAAAAGGGCAAAACACCAGCCACCTTCAGGGAATGGCTCTGCCTTAGGCAGCCAAATTTTGAGTGGCTTGCTCACTCCAGCACCAAGCAAGCCCAATGTATGGCCCTCTGGACCACGAACACTGTGGATGTCCTTTATCTCCTGCGGATCCAAGCACTTCCTTTCTCAAAACTCCTGCTATGTCTTCCACCCCATCATAAACTGCATGTCTGAAAACTAATTGAAGAGTACTCCTTTTTCCTAAATCACTTAATTTTTTGAGATCCAACTATATTCAATTAAAAAAAAAAATAAAGTCAGTGATTGAACCCAACTTCATTCAAAATATCTTTGTTAATTAGTTTTCTCATAAGCAAATCCAAATGATCTTCTGTGGGGGTAATCTAAATCCCAAAGTTAAACCCGTACAGCTACAAAGGGATGAAACCAAAGAGGATCTTACAGAACCTAGTATCACAAGACAGTGTTTTAATATTGACCTCTAATTTAAGAATAAGCTTTTCCTGTGAATTTACAGGCATCCTCAAAGTATGAGGATACTTACCAGGAAAAACACATAATTTTCCTTATTCTTACTGAGTAATTCATAATTGAAAAGGGGCTAGCTGACTTCCGTTAATGCAAATGGCCTCTTGAAATATTAAATTATGCCAGACAAGAAGTGAGCCTTACAGCTCTTCATCACTCAGAGATAATAACCTGTAAGACAAGTAGGTCTTACCCTGCATTTGCGCAGCAAACCCAAATCTAAATGGGACACCTGTTTCCAGATTTCACCAAAATCTAGTGCTTTGCTTAAGTTTCCAGTTGTTGGCCCAGTTCTTATGCTACTGTGCTCAGCATAGAGAGGCTTCACAAAGGTTTTAAGTATGAACCTTGCCCTTTGCTAACTTGTCCTGGAGTGAGACGCCAAGGAGGACAAGAGAATTCTGCAGCCATCCACATACAGGCAATATGGAGGTGTTCCCAGGGCCAGAAGCTGAGTACTAGAGAGCCACCAGCTGCTCGATCCTTGCTCCTCAGGCACATGGCTCCTGCATGGGTAGATACTACAGCAACCTGCTCATGCAGCAACAGGTACAGGGCACAAACCAAGACTTTGAAAGATCTAACCCCCCTTTTCAGAGATGGCTTGGATCCTGATAACATCAGAAGGCACCTAGAGCAGAGAGGAGCTGGGATTCCTGCATCGCATGCAGGCATTTAAAACTGTTACCTGCAAATATCTCCCTTGACAGGTCCACATAGGCTCGAATCCCATTTCTTCCCGCTGCCACAAAGGAACACTGGTGGGACTGTGAGCTTGTGCACAGTGACTGCTGGGGCGAATGGAGCTTTCAGCTTTGCAGTTTTGGATTCTGCTTCACCTGGCATGGCCACACCACAGAACGTGCAGCATCCAGACCCACAGCTTCAGTAAAGTCAAGTGCGTACAGATATATAGATATATGCGTAATATATGTATATTATAAATATATGCATATTATAAATATAGAACATACACATCTACAAAATATATATGTATATTATACACATGTATATTATACATATGTATATTATACCTATATATTATATAT